TGACCGTTAAAAATTAAAGTTTCTAAATACTGTAAATGACTTGTATAATAATTTTTTATAGTTTATCTAACTATGTCCATTAGAAACACGCAAATCTTTCAGCTGTGAGGCAAAGATTACAATATACATCTTTAAATATTATTAGCTAATCACTTCATTCTCTCTTTACAATGGTCACTATTACTTTATTAGTATAAATCTTTTTAATTTATTCTATATTGAATATTGTTTTTGTAATGGCTCACCTTCTTCCATTAAACCTTCACAATCACCAACAATTTGTCACAAACCATAAAATATTCAATCCATATTCTCCACATGAAACTCTAGGAAGGAGTAGGAAAATATCTCCACACATCCTTCATCACCATCACCACCTCTTTTATTTGATCATTTTAAACTAGCACAAATATGACCATTAACATTTTGTAAGATAAATGATAGTATCTCTCGGTTGCTACAGAAATGGGTGGTTGCGAAGTCGGAAAAAAAAGCTAGGATAGAAAAGGTAATTTATGTTTTATGTGATTATATTTATTTTTTATTTTATTAACTATATTTTGTTTTTATTACCGGCTTGAAATAATATAGATGACATTTGATGAATACCATAGAGTACTACGGGTGGGAAGGGTATTAATACTTTCCTCTCACATAATACACTCTCTTATAAGGACATACATTAATTAATAGGGACATCTTAACCCTTAGGCCTTAGGCTAGTAAAGCACTCACTTTAGGTTTCAAAATTTCAATTTCTTTAACACACATCAACACATACACACACGTGCACGCGGGCACACACACAAACTCATATATATATATATATATATATATATATATATATATATATATATATATATATATATATATATATATATATATATATATATATATATATATATATATATATATATATATAATATATATATATATATATATATATATATATATATATATATATATATATATATATATATATATATATATATATATATATATATATATAAAGTTACATTAAAAAAATGAAAAAACCCTACTTTTTTTAGTGAGAGCTGCAACCCTAAAAACTAGAAGTCTGAATCATACAATTTTCTTTCATCTATTAAATAAAAATTATTATTAATGAAAAGAAATAATTAATTTTGTTAATTGGACTACTTAGAAGGGTAAAACATACATTTTTCTTCCATCCTTTAGTAACATTGTATACTTGTAAAATAAATACAAGTGTGCACGGTAACCTCTGCATGAGCATAAGTAATCAGAGGTCTTTCTTATATAATTGTATTATCCCCGCCACCTTTCTTATGTAATTTTACAAAAAAAAATAGACTACGATAGTTTAAAAACGATTTTACGTCTCAAATAATTCAAAAAATAAAATTTATTTAAATTATTCTTTTAAAGACCAAAATTTTAAACTTTACTCTTTAAACCTCAATATTGATTAAGGAGTTAATATAAATTTATGTAGCCTTTCTATGGGATAGACGTCTTAAATTTATCAACTCAAAATTTAATAATTTTATTTTTATTTATTATTGAAGCAATAAATAATATTTGTTTAATTTTGGAATGTTTGTAAAGTGATCATTTTTGAATTATTTTTTCTTCCTTATTTATTTCAATTTTATTTTAATTCGACTCATTAATTATTTGAGTTAATAGTACTATTTGACAATAAAAGTTGAAAGTTTTTGGGCTTCGGCCCTCTTTTTCATTAAAAAATTAAAAAATTTTAAAAATTTGTAAATGTCTTATATAATAATTTCTTATAATTTAGCTAACTATGTTTATTGAAATATTCTTTGTTTTTGTTTTATTAATTTATTAAATCATAATTAAGGTGTATGATTGTATTATAATTAAATAATAAAAATTATTGTATGTTTCTTTTTTTCTTTTCAATTTCATTTTAATTTGAGTTATCAACTATTGAAATTAATAATATTATTTGACCGTTAAAAATTAAAGTTTCTAAATACTGTAAATGACTTGTATAATAATTTTTTATAGTTTATCTTACTATGTCCATTAGAAACACGCAAATTTTTCAGCTGTGAGGCAGAGATTACAATATGCATCTTTAAATATTATTAGCTAATCACTTCATTCTCTCTTACAATGGTCACTATTACTTTATTAGTATAAATCTTTTTAATTTATTCTATATTGAATATTGTTTTTGTAATGGCTCACCTTCTTCCATTAAACCTTCACAATCACCAACAATTTGTCACAGACCATAAAATATTCAATCCATATTCTCCACATGAAACTCTAGGAAGGAGTAGGAAAATATCTCCACACATCCTTCATCACCATCACCACCTCTTTTATTTGATCATTTTAAACTAGCACAAATATGACCATTAACATTTTGTAAGATAAATGATAGTATCTCTCGGTTGCTACAGAAATGGGTGGTTGCGAAGTCGGAAAAAAAAGCTAGGATAGAAAAGGTAATTTATGTTTATGTGATTATATTTATTTTTTATTTTATTAACTATATTTTGTTTTTATTACCGGCTTGAAATAATATAGATGACATTTGATGAATACCATAGAGTACTACGGGTGGGAAGGGTATTAATACTTTCCTCTCACATAATACACTCTCTTATAAGGACATACATTAATTAATAGGGACATCTTAACCCTTAGGCTAGTAAAGCACTCACTTTAGGTTTCAAAATTTCAATTTCTTTAACACACATCAACACATACACACACGTGCACGCGGGCACACACACAAACTCATATATATATATATATATATATATATATATATATATATATATATATATATATATATATATATATATATATATATATATATATATATATATATATATAAAGTTACATTAAAAAAATGAAAAAACCCTACTTTTATTAGTGAGAGCTGCAACCCTAAAAACTAGAAGTCTGAATCATACAATTTTCTTTCATCTATTAAATAAAAATTATTATTAATGAAAAGGAATAATTAATTTTGTTAATTGGACTACTTAGAAGGGTAAAACATACATTTTTCTTCCATCCTTTAGTAACATTGTATACTTGTAAAAAAAATACAAGTGGTGCACGGTACCCTCTGCATGAGCATAAGTAATCAAAGGTCTTTCTTATATAATTGTATTATCCCCGCCACCTTTCTTATGTAATTTTACAAAAAAAATAGACTACGATAATTTAAAAACGATTTTACATCTCAAATAATTCAAAAAATAAAATTTATTTATATTATTCTTTTAAAGACAAAAATTTTAACTTTACTCTTTAAACCTCAATATTGATTAAGGAGTTAATATAAATTTATGTAGCCTTTTTATGGGATAGACGTCTTAAATTTATCAACTCAAATTTTAATTATTTTTATTTTTATTTATTATTGAAGCAATAAATAATATTTGTTTAATTTTGGATGTTGTAAAGTGATCATTTTTGAATTATTTTTTCTTCCTTATTTATTTCAATTTTATTTTAATTCGACTCATTAATTATTTGAGTTAATAGTACTATTTGACAATAAAAGTTGAAGTTTTTGGGCTTCGGCCCTCTTTTTCATTAAAAAATTAAAAAATTTTAAAAATTTGTAAATGTCTTATATAATAATTTCTTATAATTTAGCTAACTATGTCTATTGAAATATTCTTTGTTTTTGTTTTATTAATTTATTAAATCATAATTAAGGTGTATGATTGTATTATAATTAAATAATAAAAATTATTGCATGTTTCTTTTTTTCTTTTCAATTTCATTTTAATTTGAGTTATCAACTATTGAAATTAATAATATTATTTGACCGTTAAAAATTAAAGTTTCTAAATACTGTAAATGACTTATATATATTTTTTTATAATTTATCTAACTATGTCCATTAGAAACACGCAAATTTTTCAGCAGTGAAGCAGAGATTACAATATGCATCTTTAAATATTATTAGCTAATCACTTCATTCTCTCTTTACAATGGTCACTATTACTTTATTAGTATAATCTTTTTAATTTATTCTATATTGAATATTGTTTTATAATGGCTCATCATCTTCCATTAAACCTTCACAATCACCAACAATTTGTCACACACCATAAAAATATTCAATCCATATTCTCCACATCAAGCTCTAGGAATGAGTAGGAAAAGATCTCCACACCTCCTTCATCACCATCACCACCTCTTTTATTTGATCACTTTAAACTAG